AAGATGGAACTTTCATACTTAATTATAATGGATTATTTTGTAATAATACATGTGGTCTTAAGATAGTCTTTTTTATGTGAATTTTGTTTGGGGGGCTTTTAACAATAGATTGTCATGAATTCATTCTTTGCAATTATTCTCTATCTGCTCATCAGCAAAAATCCTATCTATTAAACTCAAAAGGTTACATAGTTATTCTACATACCTATAATAAGCAGTGACATGAAGTTGATAAAATTAAAATGTTCTGGCCTTGAATTCACAAAGAAAGAAGAATATTTTATTTCTTCTTGCCAAGTTCAGTTTTTATTTTTTTTAAATGTTTGTTTCATTTTTTGGTCATATACATTGAAGTTTATGTCGTTTCCTTACTATTCTGTAGCCGTTTCTGGGTTTTTAGCATTTATTTGTTCATTTGTTTTGGATATTTAGTAGTCTCCAATCTACCTTGATCTCTTCCTAGTAATTCTGTTATTCTTTTAGGGGACTACTTCCCATATTTTGTGTTATTCTGATTCGAGTGTCAGAGTAACTCAAGCAAAGCACCATAACCAGTTAAGATTGGCCAAATGAATTCTCTCTCCTAGGAACTTTCTTCTGGAGCCTGACCAGTAATGAAGTAATCATGTTGCTTGCCTGAATTATTTTCAGCATCAAATAGGAGTAGATATTTCAGGCCAGACAGATGAACTGTTAGTCATATTAATTATAAAAGCAAGTTTTTTTAAACATTTAATGCTGGCAGTTTTGTAGAGACTTACATTCTTATTTATAATCATTGAACAAGTAACAGCCATTGTGTGGTAATTTGTTAGAAGGGGGAAGTCTGGAATTGAAATGTAGGAAATTTTTCGTGTCTTCCCTTGACAGATTTTTATGGGAAAAGTTTTTTTTTTTAATCATAAACTGATTTATAATAATCACTCTGGAAAGTAAGATAACAAAGGTTCATTTTGAGGATTTTTAAATGTAGACATCAGATGACTATATTTAGATTTCTTACCCAAAATATTTTCATAATACATTGAAACATTTTCAACTAGGATACATGATTTGGGTTAGTTTTATATACTTGTTGTAGTATAAATGTAATACTGCTTATTTTGGAAGCTCCCACAAACATTGATGATCAACAGCATTTTTAAAAAAGTATGTTTAGCAGTAGATGGACACAGTACCTTTATTTATTTGTTTCTTTGTTTATTTATTTATTTTTATGTGATGCTGAGGATTGAACCCAGTGCCTCACATGTGCTAGGCAAGTGCTTTGCTACTGAGCCATAACCCCAGCCCATCAATAGCATTTTTAAATGCACTTTGAACATCTTTTGTAAATCCATGAAGGCCAGGATATTGAATATGACAAATAATAGGTGCTTAGTGTTTGTTTATTTACTATATTTACTTTGAAAATGTTTAGGTGATATTTATCACATTAAATATTTATAGCAATGCCATGATATCCTGAAATTATAGATGAGGAAATGAAGTCAGAGAGATTTGTGAAAGGTTCTGCATCTGGAGTTTTTGAACACATCTGACTGACAAGTCAGTGTAATTAACTACCTTATTAGACCTTGCTTCTATAGAATGAAATTATGAACAACATGCATGAAGCAATTATTTTAATATCTGATGATTTTAATAATCATGTTCACTTATTAACAATTATTTTTTTGAATATTTAGTACAGGCTACGTACCTGAACAATTACTAATACTATAGAGAGAACAAAATAGGCTAGTAATTTGACTACCTAGAACTTACTTTCTAATGAGAAATTTTGTAAGGAAATTAATACTGAAAACTCTTATTTTAATCTCTTTGAGAACTGCAATATGTCTTTTGTTTCTGTATATCTGACTTTCACCCTAGTTCATGATAGATATTAAAAAAATCTTTGAATAAAAGAAAAATATGAATGAACTACAAACTCTGATGTTTATTTTTCTCATTTGAAATTATTCCTTGATGTATGAAATACATTTATATAGACAATATCTTATTCTCTAGAAATTTTATAAAATATAATTGCAACTAAAATTTCAGGTTTTATATAAAAAGCAATATCTTATTTGGGAATAGAAAACAGTAATGTTATTTACAAGGGTGGAAATATGATACAGCATAAGCAACATTTACAAATGAAGTATTTTTTCATGATGGCCAGTGACTAATTAAGATTTTCTGATTACTGGTTCACAATGTTTCTCAGTGGTAGAGTGCTCAGCATTCAAGAGAACCTAGGTTCAATTCGAAGTACCAGAAAAAAAAGAAAAAAGAAAAGTAAGAAAAAGAAAACTTTTTGTAATTTGAAATTACAAATTTGTAATTGAAACTTATCCTCTGCTTTTTAAAATTGGTTTGCAACCCAATTATAGAGCACATAAATCAGGGAGGGAAAAAAAGAAAAAGCTGGTTTCCAAACTTCACATATAGGGTGGAGGAGAAACACAATGACATAGGTCTTTTCAACTGGTACATAAACTTTAAACTTTAAGTCAAGGTCTTTTAGTAAAGTAAAAATACCAAATAGTTTTTACTTTATTACTTTATCCTCAGTATGTGATACTTCAGATATGTAGCCCTTGACCTAATAGGAATCAAAATAGAGGTGATTCTACTTCAAAAATTTGTAATAATCCCTTCACTTTAACACATGAATGTGTTCAATATTGGCAAAAGAGCACGTTGCTACCAAAACTGAAACAAGATCCTTGAAACAGAAAGGATGTTGCCATGGAAAAATGAAGTAACACTCAGTGCAGCTGTGATGCATTAATGAATAGGATATTTTTTTAAAAGATCATTTGTGTTTGGTGTGGCTCAGAGGGTCCCAACCAGATGGTTTCCATGAACATGATCTGACCCCCGGCTTGAGGACTTCTTACTGGCAGATTACTTCATTTTCTTTCCCTTGGATTGTCAGATCCTTACATTAATGTAAAATTTACTGCTGCAGATTTATATTCAGTACCATAAATCACTCAAGATTTTACATTAAAACTACAATTTAGACATACAGTTTAACAGTTATTTTAAAAGTGTAAAAAGATTTATATGATAACTTCAGTATATATCATAGATGTAACTTTATAATAATTTTGAACAATTTGGATTATATCTGTTTTGATTCTTACCATAAAAGGAATCCTGACAACATATATTGTATTTAGAATGTTTATCATTTAGAGTCTTTGCTTAGCTCACGCCAGCATGCTATTGATTTTATTTATATAGTTCAGATTATTTAAATTTGATGGAAAAAATTGAATTTTGATTTAGTGGAATTTATAATGTTTATGGTTTTCAAAAATTTGGCTAATTAAAATTTGTTTCTACAGACACAGATGTGTATGTTTGTAAATTATAGCAAAATAAACCAATGACCTCAAGTTGTTCAGAGCATTTTCAACATAGCATCAGTATCTATATGAATTGTTAAATATTTTATGCTTAATATTTTGACTTCTTAATAGAAATTAATAGAATAGAAAATATGCAATTTGTATGACATTTTAAACCACACAATTTAACATTAATGAAGTATGTTAAAACATTTAAAAACATAATTATATCTAAGATAATACAGACATATCATAATGAATAAAATATGTTGTGATCTTAAACAAATCAACTACTTAATACACATACTTATATCTTCAAAGCTGCAAGATAAAATTCTAGAATTAAAATAATGAGCTTATATGAACCAATACATTTAGTTTTGTAAAATTTTATGTGTCTTTTTCTTCACTGAATTCATTAGTTTATCTTTGGCCATATATGTGAAGTAAGCACAAATAGGTTTGCTTATTTATGGGCTGTAAAATTGTTTATCATATCAAGGAATTCTAAACCTGTTACATGTAATTATATTCTCACTAAGGAATCTGTTAACCCATAGAAAGGGAATATTACTCTATCTTTAGTTATATTTTATAAAATAGTGTCTTTGAAACTTAGAGTATCCAAGCATTTATCAAGCAAAAGTATTTCTTATCATAATTTAAGTATCACATTTGAATGCCAAATAGTTTCTGAAGTCAGTGTTATAGTTTGTATTGCTTAACAAATAATGAAAATATGCTAGGCTAGTGGGGCAATTTAATAAAATTTGAGCAACTATTGCTTTGTAAGAGCTAAGACTAGTAGATTTTAATCTGTTGCTTCTGAATTAGGAACTCAAACTCATTTTTTGATTTGTGCTTGCACAGTCTTAATGGCCTCTAAGGGTTGGAAAGGGAGCATAAAAATTTCATATAAAATCACAATTGAAGTAATAATTTAAGAATGAACTAATCAAGAAAGTGATTTTCAAGTCGTCTTCTATAGACTTATATATCCACTTTATATGATAAATATGATATACTATGTATACATATATACTTGAATCTGTGTATATGAAAATATGTGGTACAATTGTATTCTTTTAAAAAAAATCTATTTATTTATTTATTTTATGTGGTGCTGACGATTGAACCCAGTGCCTTGCAACGTGCCAGATGAGCACTCTACCACTGAGCCACAGTCCATCCCCTATAACTGTGTTCTTTAATGATTGTCTAGAGCTATTAGTTGAATGTTTTAAACATTTTTTCTTATAGTTACTAAACTGTAAGAAAAGTAAAAGTGTTAGGGCCCAATTCATATAGAAATAGTTTTTATTTTCTATCTGTTTGGTGTTAACAGAATGTAATGAACTACAAGAGAAAGAGAATTTTCTCACCTTTTTTGCCAGAACATTTATGTAACTGAATCATGTTTCTTGGAAAGAATTGTAGAAGGGCAGTTTTATTTTCATGTCATTTACTGGGTGCTTTTGATCAAGTTTATAGCATGAAAATAATAGCCTTTCAAGTGTTGAGTAAAATATAACTCATAGAGACATGTAGGACACATTTAATTTTTGGTTTGCCTATTTATTCTGATAGCGATATTAAGTTTTCAAGGAATGTTTGGTGTGATACAAATATTTTAATTCTGCTTTGCTTTTCTAGCTTGAAGTTCAGTCTTGTTGTGTCTTCATTCCAAATGATAGCCTGCCTTCCCCAAGTACAATTGTATCTGGTGATATTCCTGGAAGTGTAAGAAGTTGGTACCATGGACAAACCAGCATGCCAGGAACACTTGTCCTCTGTTTGCCTCAAATTAAGATTATCAGTGCTGGTCACAAATATATGGAACCTCTTCAGGAAATTCCATTTGTTATCCCACGACCTATTCTGGAAGAAGGTATGTTAAAAAAAATAATCTTCCCAGGATTAACATTTTTTTACTGATATTTTTAGGTTTCTTTTACTTCATCAGTATATATGTAAGTCAGGCTTCTTGTTGAAAGATTTTCTTGACTGATGTCTTTTATTGACATTAATACCTTTTAGTCATAGTCAGATATTTATACATAAAATTGAATTGTCTATTAAAGTACCTGCAGTATAATGTAATTGTTAAATTTAACTTGAAGAAAGTTGTGTTTTTTGTGTTTGCTGAACTAAGAATTATAAGGATTGACCTTAATCAAAGCCACTTGAGTTATGAGTTAATATATTATAAATGAGTAGTGAAATTAATATTTATATCAAGCATAATATAATTTTAAACTAATCATTTACAAAGTAGATGATTGTGCAGTGATTGGAACCATGGTTCTTTTCTTAGTACATTCTTGATTTTTTTTTACATTGTAGTGTTTTGTGTTGAAAATATATACCCTTTTGAACTTTGACATATTCATTTCAAACAAAATGTGAACCTTAGAAAGTTTTGAGTCACAAAGTAAATAATATGACTCTATATTTTAATAACAAGGCTCAAATTTTTGACAGTGCTAAATGGGTCAACACCTTGTTCATATTATTAGGGTGTAAATATAAGAATCCTGATGTCATTCAAATTATTGTAGGTATTATCTCACTGAAGAGTAGACAGCCTGTGCAATTATTGACTCCAACTTTGTTGGTAATTTCTCTTTCCTTTCTGAAATTTTCATTAAAATCCATTTTCTCATAAGAAATAATAAGGATTTACTGCTACATATTAGTGTTGGTCCTTTACAATGTGAATATCATTATCATAGAATTCTAATGATTAAAGACAACTTTTTTTTCTTTGTGTGTAGTCCTTGGCTTGATAGAAGGATCCTTTCTCTAATATCTTTGATATACTTCATTCTTTTCTATTTTCTTTTGGATTTTAGGAATTCTATATTACAACAGCTGTTGTATAGAGTATCTAGGTTATATTCATCTTTCGAAGTGAGTTGTAGAATGCTCCCTATTTTTTTTCAAACTCTGCAACTTTTGTAAGATTAAAATAACTGTCCCTGGATTTTTATTAAAATACAACCATAGACATGGAACAGATTTTTAAAATATAATGTAGATGTCATAGAATTATTCTTATTACAGAAATTAGGTATATTTCTAGTTAGGGGGGAGTGTTGGGTAATATGGTGACTCTTATGATTAAGCTTTTGAGAAATTGCCAGTGTTGACCAACTTGTCTGTACCATTTTACAATTACTGTGATTATACATTAGGGTTCTAATTTGTCCATATCTTTGTCACCATTTGTAATTATCTCTTTTGTTGCTTTAGTTCTAGCCATCCTAAGTTCTGTGAAGTAGTATCACATGGTTTTGATTTGTATCTTCTTAGTGACTAGTGATTTTGATCATCTTTTTATGTGCTTATTGGTCATTTGTATATCGTTTTATTGAAGTATTTTTTTTTCTGTTCAAGTTTTGTCCATTTTGAAGATGTGTTATTTGGCTTTTTAAAGCTGTAATAGTTTTTTTTTTTTTTATGTCTGGATACTAGACTACTTTGAGGTATATAATTTGCAGTTATTTTCTCCCTTTCTGTGGGCTGTCATTTTAGTTTCTCACTGATTTTTTAAGTGTTATTTTTAGTTTTTTTAGTTTCTCACAGATTTTCTTTCTTTTTTTTAAGTGTTTTTTTTTTAATATTTATGTTTTAGTCGGAAACAATATCTTTATTTATTTATTATTATGTGGTGCTGCGGATTGAACCCAGGGCCTTGCACATGGTAGGCGAGTGCCCTCCGCTGAGCCACAACCCCAGCCCTGATTTTCTTTTTAATATATTTTAATTGCACTTTTTTGTGGTTTATCTGAAAGTATTCCTTCACTGTTATTACTTTTTTGATTTTGGAAATTAATATCCTTTCAAAAAGGGAACTGCAATACTGGAAATATTAGTATACTTTTTAAAAATATTTATTTTTTATTTGTACACAATACATTCATTTTGTTTATTTACTTTTATGTGGTGCTGAGGATTGAACCCAGGGCCTCGAATGTGCTAGGTGAGTGCTCTACCACTGAGCCATAACCCCAGCCCCCTAGTATACATTTTTAATTTGTTAAATTAAGTTATCAGTATTATATTATAATATCGTTGTTTAGTTTCACACATATACACACACACAGATAAAACTGGTTCAGGGGTTAGAAAACTTTTTCAGTAAAGAATCATTAGGTAAATAAATTTTTCATTTTTTAGTTTCTTTTGCAACTGTTCAAAATTTGTGGTAAAGAAGCAGCTATAAACAATACCTCGATGAATCTGCATGATGGTGTTCCAGTAAAACTTTTTTGACAAAATCTGATGGTTGATTGGATTTCATCATAGGCTATAATTTGATGACCCCTATGCCAGGTACATAGTATTCGTTTCTTTTCAAAGCCATTTCCTCTTTCTAGTTCAGATATTTTAATTTTTGCTACAGGTACTTCCTTTAGAATCCATTTATATGGTGGTCTGATGTTAGCATAGTTTTAAATTTGTTTGTTTGAGACTCTTTGTTTGAGTCTAATATTTCAGAAAGAAAAATGTGTAGCACTTAGTGTATACTTTCAATGATTTTCATAACGTAAACCCATACATGGTACCAGCACCTGAATCAAGATCAAGAATAGCCCGAGCTCTGAGGTAATCTCTAGCCTTTTCCAGTCAGTTTTTCCTCAAACATAAATAATGTTTTGAAGTATAAAACCATGAATTAGTTTTCCTACTTTGAAACTTTATAGTACATTATTATTTATTGAATTTAAGATTTTCTATGATTAACAGGGTTTTCATTTTGATTCTTTAAGAAAAATCTCCTTATGACTATTTTCAGCTTTATTTTATTCATATATACATGAGCAAAAGTTGTTATGATCTACTGAGTCTTGCCTGCTGTGCCTAGTATTACTTATGTTTTCCTTATATATTTTTTTATTTTCTTGGTTATTTTCACTGGAAATTTTGCTATAGGATCTTTTTGAAGAAATGCTTCATAGATTCCTTTTGTGGATGTGTGAATTTACTTTTGCTATGTTAAACCATTACAAGGTCAGAATCACTTGAAACTAAATTCTTGGTTAGAGATTTCTGTACACCTACATAATAAAAATTCAAGCTACAGCCTTTTATAAATTATGGCTAAATTGTGGTTGTGATTATAATTTTTCCTTTATTCAAAGTTAAAATTTCTGGTAGTCATATAGAGAGCAGAAAAATAGGATAATCTTTTTTTCATTTATGATATCATTAACATTATAACTATTTGTACACTAGCTTTATGTTCCATTAGTTTCAGAACTACAAATCAGAGTTAGTTGTGAATAAGGATGCTTAATTTAACACCCTCTCAGTGGCTCAGTCATTTACTTTGTTTACCTCAGTCTCTGACCTTAAAAATCCTTTTTAGGGAGATTCATTAATGAACTTCCAAGAGACATAGTGTGTAAAATAAACTATATAAATTTCAACCATAATATGTAATATATAAATAAAATTATATACTCATCACTTTTGTGTTTTACTGAAAAGATCATCTAGAGCACTGTGTCTACTATGTTGCTATAAATAGAAACCCTTAGTGATTACTTTTAAATGATGTTATGAGAATATTTTGCCTCCTTTTGTCTAATGAATTTTATAAAGGATTGATTTGAACTCCCCACCATTGTTTATCTTTTCACCAGTCATTTAAAATCCTCATTATTCCTACAAATTATTCCTTTGTGTGAAGGGCTATACCTTGACCTTTTCATGTGATAAATTACTTTATTTTCATCTTGTTCTTCAAATTCCTTATGAATGGCTTAAGAACTACAGAAGTTTGTATCTTTAGAGCTTAATTTTATTATATTCTCTTTTTCTTTTAGAACCAAGTTAGATAACAACTTAGTTTATTTTGAACTTAAAAAAAATCACATACCAGATGCATAGGACTAGAATCAAGTAGACACTTAGAGAGTCTATTTTTCATGCTCCTTAGGAGAATATAGGATGACTGTATAAGCAAAAATGAAACATAAAGTAAAACAAATTTTTAGCTATATGGTTATTTTCATTGGCCAACCTACCCTGAGGAAAAGAGATTATTTCAAAACATTCAAGTCCTCTTTAGGACTTAAAAATTATAAATACTAACTTGTTATGAATGACCATAAATTTATTTTTCCTCATTTTCAAGGATGTTTATAAAATTTGAGCATATAATCCTTTAACATATATATATATATGTAAATTTATTTATTATTTATTGTTATATCTGTGCATAGATGGTAAAAAGATGTATATATTCCCTTTTTATTAGTTTTCAGGTGGTCCTGCTTTCAGTATAACTCTTGCATTCTCTTTCAAATGTTCTTTGAATATTGGAACCTGTTAAGGGACTAATGGCATGTAGCATATTGTTCCTTTATAGCCTGCATGTTATGTTCTCAGTTACTTGCTCTTTATTTGTGCTTTATCCACATTACAAAAATTTGTGATGTCTTATTTGCTGGTATATTGTTTCTTATTCACATGTTTCTTTTGATTTTTAATGCTTTCCCCCCTCATTGTAATTTTCCTGGTTTCAGAATATAGATAAATATTTTCAGTAATCCATGTATGACCAGATGTGAAATGTCTAAATCCCCCACCCTTTTCTAGTCTGCCACTTTGATACTATTATTTTATCTCCATCTTTTTGTTGTTGTTATTCAGCAAATGTTTTATAATAAGTTCAAGGGACAGGTGGAAGGGTGGGATAAGATAGAAAAACTGCAGTCATGGAAATTAATTAGATATTGCAGCTAGCTATTAAAATGATCTAGAATAAAATATGGGTGTCAGATCCAGTATAGTGGTAACTGGGAAATAAATTTGGGTAGAACAAAGAAATATTTAAGAGGTTTGCAGATTAGTGTCCAAACTTGGTGACTGGAGTAGTTA